ACTGGCCAGGTTACCAGGTGAAAGTAATGGAAAAAGCCTGAAAAAAAAAAAACTAAAACATTTTGTTCTTGGGTTTGGATATGCTTTAACTAAATGGCAACTGTGCAGTGAGATAAACATATTGATGCAGCCATACAAGGAATGACCCCTAGCTGCTAGGATTTATACATTGAGATTGTCATCATGTATGCATCCTTTCTACTTGGGTTTAGGCATTCTTTGTGCTTCTTGAGATGTTTGTCTAAATAAAACAATCTTGCCATTGCACTCCACTTCATTGTCTTTTACACATGCACATTACAGTGAATTGCTTGGGAATGTTTTTATAGGTTACTCAAGATGCTCAGCAGTTTTAGAAAATTATTTAGTCAGACCCCATGTTGTTTCACAGCAGGACATGCTGCAATTGTCTTGCTTTGTTACTCCCAATGTAATCAGTTTTTACATTTCAGAGACAAGCACTGGTAGACAATCACGTACCTGCCTATTATGCCCCCATCACAACCTGAAAAGTTTAGAGGATCTGTGAAAGTATAATTAAAATTAAACATTTTTAACAGATAAACATTTGACAGCCTCCCATTTTGGTTAAGTGGGTATTTTCTTTTAATATATCTTCTCATATAAAGTATAAGTCCATGGAGAATAGATCTGTAAATGTGGCAGGGCATGGGGATTTAATTAATTCTATATTTCCACAGCTGGAGTTTGTAGATTACGTGTTCCATGTAGAGCGAGGGCGCAGAGAAACGGCCAATCTAGAGCTCCTGCTGCAGCGTTGCAGTGAGGTACAGCACTGGGTCAGTACGCAAACCCTGCTCTGCGAGGCTCCAGCGAGGAGGACTCAACTTCTCAAGAAGTTCATCAAGACAGCAGCCATGTGAGTTAGCACCTCAAGAAGACAAGTGTATGTACAATATGTGTACAATATGTGTGTGTGTGTGACAAAGCAAATGAAGGAGGGAATTTAACTGCTATGGGTGAGACCTCCCATATGTATAAATCAGCCCCTAATGGAAACTTTGGTTCTACAACAGCTAGAAAGACAAAGATCAAAAGTTAAACTGACATTTTCCAATGGCTTCCATGATGGTTTTTATATGCCATTGCACAGTGTGCTCTGTGTATTATCATTTTTAGTGTGCTTTGTTTCCTGGGGTTTAGACCTCCATTGGACATAGACTTTTGATCTACCATTAAACGTACCCAATACTCATGACTAAGGGTGAGGATAAAAACTAAATCCAGCCATACACTGATAGTTTTTTTTTTTTTTTGTTTCTTTGTACAGCCTGCAGGTTCCTTTGATTGTTCAATCAAAGGATTTTGCAAATTTTGACCAGTTCACTAGAAACTGGATGAAATTCACTTAAGGTATGGCCAACTTTAGAATAACTGCTTGACTTGATTCTCATTAAAGATAGTGGGAGAGTATGAAAGGCACAGCGAGTGTGCATTGGACTATACAGAAAAAGAGAGAAAAGAGTATTAAAATGGTCAGAAACGTGAAATTGTATCTGCTGTAGATTGGGAGACTGTCACAACCAGGGGTGGACTGACCACTTATGGGGCCACCGGGCAATAAGGGATCATGGGGCCCCTGTGTCCTCACCCACACTCAAACTTCACCCAAAAAAGCCTATGAAAGGTACTAGGGGCATCTCATGGGGCCCCCTACTCACCCTGGGCCCTCGGGCAGTGCCCGAGAGCCCAAATGGTCAGTCCGCCCCTGGTCACAACTGTCCAGTTTTCTTTTCTTCTTGGTCAATTCTAAATTGAACAGGTCATTTGGCATTCAAGTATTTAGGAGAATAGGAGAGTCACAATTTGTTTATCACATACTGAATTTGTCTGGTCCACCCAATTCACAGCAAATCAAGAGTCCGGTTGCACTTGTAAAGTTGCATCTTGTAAAGCTGGTCATACACTGATAGAAATTCGGCCGGATCTGCAGGGACCAGCCAAATTTTGATTGATGTATGGCCTAGCTCAGGGGTGTCAAACTGGCGGCCCTCCAGCTGTTGCGAAACTACAAGTCCCATCGTGCCTCTGCCTTTGGGAGTCATACTTGTAACTGACAATCTTGCAGTGCCTCATGGGACTTGTAGTTTGGCAACAGCTGAAGGGCCGCCAGTTTTGCACCTGTGGTCTCTAGCTGATTATACACAAGAAAAACTATCAACTGACTTGTGTACAACCAGCCTGTTGGGTATTTCCGGAACGATCAGTAGCACTTGCTATAGCTTAGTGGGATCGATTCACATCACATGTGTGGATGGGGAAATCGTTTTTTTTTTTTTTTTTTTTTTTTTCGTTTAACCTGCTGGTTGGATGAAAAAAATTAGTTTTTGTCTATTGTTCATCCATTATGACTTATAAAACCATGACTTACCATAGAACAACCATCACCAAACCCTTCTCCCTCTGTGTTCTTTTCCATTGTTTCCTCACCGCCCCTTTCTGCAGATGTAAACAAAACCAGGACCTCTTATCGTTTTTTGCCATAGTGATGGGATTGGACAATGGTGCAGTAAGCCGTCTACGTGTCACCTGGGAGGTACAAATAAAATTCAGATTTTCCTTATTTGTTCCCCTATGTGGATTTTTTTAAAGAGATTGTGTAAAAAAAAGTATATATTTTATTTATTATGTTCATGAATATTCAATAAGTATTTTGTATGTATTTTCTGTCTATTGAATATGAAATATTATATATAAATATTTAATATATATGCCTGCAGCTTTATTCAAAAGAAGAACAGAGCAATAAGATGACACAGATTGTGGAAAGACTTAAAGTTAAAGCTAAACTTTTTTCTCATTTTGGATAGAGTACAGGAGGGTTACAACCCCCTGTCAGTTTTATTTTTGCTATAGATTTCCCATTGGGGAGATTTCCCCTTTACTTCCTGTCCCATAGCCAAAGCAGGAAGTGAGAGGAAATCCTTCCAATCCAAGAGAATGCTTGGTTGTCACCAGGGTCGGCAAAACCGTCCAATGTTAACCTTATTCTCCTGTTCTTTCATCAGAAACTACCTGGGAAGTTTAAGAATCTGTTCAGGAAGTTTGAGAATTTAACAGTAAGTATGGAGATGCAGTAGGATCATTTTTTTTTAGAGAGATTTATTAAATAGGGATTCTCTTTAGGTGTATTTACCGAAAAACGTCTGAAAGTAGCCACAGACAGTCATATATTGATCACCAAATTTTGCAAACAACTATGTAGTGTGATCTCTATCTGTTATTTGAATGTAAAAGTGTATCTGAGCCCAAAAGCAAAAGTTTAATATGTTGCAGTTTACCAATCGTAAGACTGGATTCTTGGTGGCTGGATTATTTTTCTTTTTTTTTTTATGCTTTTCTTTTTTTTTGCTTAATTGTCACCTACTGATCCTGCCAGTAACACACTTTCTGTCCTAGGGTGACAACGCTCGCTCATTGTACTTTATTTATTATGGTGAAGCTGCGTTGTCACCCCTAGGACAGGAAAGTGTGTTAGAACTCCTTCCTCTCTCCCCATGTCCGCATCATAATAAAGAGGTGTTCTATAGTCCCCATGCCTAGGGCACAGCTTGATTATAGGCTTTTGTGTGTGTTATTTACTCTTAATTTGCATAATTTACCATAACCATTTTGCTCTCAAATTTGCAGATTATGCTTGTTTTCCATAGATGTGCTTTGAGATTTTTGAAGATTTTAATAGAGCTTTTCCCCTCTTTCTTTAGGATCCATGCAGGAATCACAAATCCTATCGTGAGATGGTGTCCCGCATGAGACCCCCAGTAATCCCATTTATTCCCCTCATCCTGAAAGGTAAGCATGGGCAAAACTTAACCCCTTGTCCATGATTCCTCACACCTCTACCCTACTTTTCATCTTTACAGTCCCCACATAGATCCCAAAATTCTAAAATATAATAAATGCCATATCTGCCCTAATCTGGCCATACATTGTCAGAGTAGAAGAATACCCCATGAAAACTCCAAACAACTAGACAGATCTGTCTTTACTGAAATGTAAAAGCACCATATTACAGCAACATTAGTGTGAGGGCTAAGAAAAGTCAACGCGTTTTGTGCTATGATTAGGCTATGACACCACTAACCCATCGTTTTCATCTTTACAGTCCTCACATAGATCCCGAAATTCTAAAAGATATTAAACCCCATCACTGCCTTAATTTGACCATACATGGTCAGAGTAGAGAAAAACCCCATGAAAACTCCAAAGAGACAGACAACTGCACTCCAAAGACATCCGTCTTTTTTGAAATGTAAAAGAACCATATAGCAACAACACTGTGGGAACAAGAAAAGTCAACGCGTTTCGTGGTATGTGAGCACATAGCGCTGTGATTAAGCTATGACATAGTGTGAAACGCGTCAACTTTTTTTAGTCCCCCCAGTCTTCTTGCTGCAATATGGTACTTTTGCATTTCAATAAAGACGGATGCTTTTGGAATGCAGCTGTCCAGTCCTTAGGCGTCTTTTATTGCATTCAGCAAGATGAGCCGAGCTTTTCCTGACAGCTGCCGATACAGTTAAAGTGTTACTAAACCCACAGCAGTAAAATTGGTCTGTATATGCAGAAAAGCATGCTTGTTATACTCACTGTGGAACCTAAGGGGTTAATCCTCTGCATTGTGTAAAAAGGTCGTTTGATCCTGTCTTCTCTGATCCTTTCCTTTTTCAACAGTCCCCAATCCATCTGCTGATAGTACAGAGCCCTAAGAGGCACTATGCAAATGCTCAGTTTGGTGTGTATTGCTAGATGGGTTTTTTGTTTGGGAGGGTGCATGTGATCGGCACAAGGCCAATCAGCACTGTCCAGAAAGACGGTCAGGGGTCCTGCAGCCACATAGGACAGTCAGAGGAGAATGCAAATTCCTCCTACAAGCTTTTACCAATTCACAGCTGGCCCCTGATAGAAGTCACAATACTGCTATATACTGCTAATGAGAAAAGGTATTTAGCTAAAATAACTGCATTTCCATGTTCTATGTAATGTGGGAGACCAGATATAGTGAATGCAGGGTCCTGGGTTTAGTAACACTTTAAATTAAATTTAGTTTGCTAAAGTATTGCATACCATAAACAATTTCCAATTTATTTAAAAATAAAATCCTTGGTTTCACCTTCTTTGTGGCATCTTAGCACTGCTGATCTCCTGCAGCCTCCTTGTAGTTACTTCTTGTCTACATGTATACTCTCCAGCATTGTCTACATGACATTTCCCAGGGCAGGTTTCCTGATGGTGTCAACAGTGGACCATGTTTGTGTAATATGTTCCCACAAGTGGTCTCCATCAGAAGCCAGGGGGACAATGAAGATGCATAACTGGCAGACAGGGACAAAGCGTTGTCACCCTATTACAAGTGCCTGAAAAAGCCCATTCATGGCAAGATCACCAGGCTTTATTTTAATGAAAGCTGCAGATTTGAAAACAGGTTCCCTCTCTTCAATTTTTGCATTCCATTTAATCCTCCTTTATGTCATCTTCATGATTGTCCCCCTCAGACAGTGATCATCATTCTTTCTGTTTCTTCCCTCAGACCTCACATTTTCTACACGAGGGTAGCAAAACCTTCATTGATGGGCTTGTGAATGTGGAGAAAATGGTGAGTCCTGGGGCTGGTATCGTAAAAGCCTAATTTCAGGCAAACAGCTGAATACTCAGATGAAATGCATTTAGGTGTGCTTTTACCTGCCAAACTCTGCATATATCTGTTCATCCAATTCTGAGATTTGCACGTCCCTGCCAGACAGAACAGCCAGACAGATGACACTACTTGCTGTGTTGGGGCCCAATCACACCATATGCCTTTCTCAACAATCCCAACGCACAGACAAGGCAATTTATTTTGAATCCAATGAGTTCAGCTCACACTAATGCAGAGCCCCCCCCAAAAAAAAAAAATAGGACCTGCCTAGAGATTGCATGTTCTCCCTGTGCCTGCATGGGTTTCCTCCGGGTACTCCGCTTTCCTTCCACACTCCAAAGACATGCTAGTAGGTTAATTGGCTCCTGTCTAAATTGTCCCTAATATGTGTATGTATAAATGTAAGTTAGGGACCTTAGATTGTACACCCCTTGAGGGTTAGGGACTGATGTGAATGTTCAATATATATGTAAAGCACTGCGTAAATTGACAGCGCTATATAAGTACCTGAAATAAGTATCTGAAATAAAAGCAAAAAAATTTTTTTCAGCACAGTATGCTGTATCGCTCAACACTGCTTTGCAGTGAATAAAAAGGAATCAAATCATTTGTGACATTTTACCAAAGCTGAAAAAAGTGCAATGTGTTATCACAATGCATTGGCACTGCTCCCTTCACAGCATACACCAGCGGGCGCGGTATAATGTGGCCCCTGCTGTGAACACGCCTTTACAGTTTTAAAGCGGTTGTAAAGGCTGAAGGTTTTTTTTTTACCTTTGTGTATTCTATGCATTAAGGTAAACAACCTTCTGTGTGCAGCATCCCCCCCAGCCTCCTTAATGCTAACCTGAGCCTCATCATGACTCAGCAATGTGAATGACAGCCTTGGTTGTCCCAGGTCTCTGCCTCCTCAGTGGCTGAGACAGCAAGTGGGAGCCATTGGCTCCCGCTGCTGTCAATCACAGCCAGTCAGCCAATGAGGAAAGATAGGGGGCGTGGCCAAGCCCTGGCTCCGTGTGTGAATGGACACACGGGGCAGTGGGTGCCCCCATAGCAAGCTGCTTGCTGTGGGGGCACCTGACAGACAGGAGGAGCCAGGCAGGGGACCCCGAGAAGTGGAGGATCCAGGCTGCTCTGTTCAAAACCACTGCACACAGCAGGTAAGTATAGACATGTTTGTTATTTTACAAAAAAGAAAAAAAAACATTAACCTTTTAGAATCGCTTTAAAAAGGAATGCAGTGGTTTCTCATTCCTCCCTCAGCCTGCTGATTGGACCATGAAGGAGCAGCAAGAAACTGAATTCTGCCCACTGCTCCTATCTGCATGTTTCTTGTCAGCTATTTTGCATGCAGCACATCAGATTGGCTCCCTGTCCTGCCATTCCTTCTCCCCATCTGAGTGATGCCGTATTCTGAATTACCACAGGCTTAAAGAGGTTGTAAACCTCTGAAATGAACAAAGCATATCCTTCCATAGTGTGCCCTTGCCTCTATATAAAGCACCTAGTGTGATTTCTGTGTCCTCTCTCATTATTCTGCTCTCTGCATGAGTCACTTCTGACAGGCTATGCCTACACCAGACAATCCCGGGAGACAGCCCCCCCCCCCCCTCCAGAACACAGCAGGAGAATGACAGCATTATCTGTGCATGTTACCCTATGAGACTATATAGAGGGGGGTGGGTCCATTCCCTTCACTCAGGTCTCAGATTACACTCAGCTGTCTGCCCTAGGCTGTGCAGTGTATGCTGTCAGATTGTCCCCTGCCTTGTGAAACTCAGAGATGCTGTGTAAATTCTGGACTTTAAATGGATGTAGAGGAGAGAGGGCTATGGATAAACAGGTACAACGTAAGTAGGAGGATTTGTTTAATCTCTGTGTATCTTCTGAGGTCAGTCACTTCACTGGGTTTATTCAGGCTCTCAAACTAGTTGCTTTTAAAAAAATACATTTAACAATCTATTAATAAAAAACTAGCTGCAAACACGTGTGTCTTTTTTATATGCCTGGAGTTCAGTAATCAAATAAAACCGTACTTTTGGGATGTTTTCTGTTTGAAAAATAGGAACCCTTTCAGCTTTTTACATCTACAGCCAAAATCCATCCAAAATGTTTGTAGCTTTGGTTGTTTTTGATGGAGTGGGGAAAATCTGAAACTCTGCCAGGCTTTTACACCTGTCTGTAACTCCAGGGGAGATTTCCTCCCAGTGACAAGACTGAACAGGAAGTGATGGGGACATAGACAGCAAATATTTGCTTTTTAGTTGAACTGGGCAAACTGTGTCAGTTTTTATTGCTGCCTGCGTCTTCTTATTCCAATGATCCCTATTTCCCTTCTTTGAGGTCCTGGTGTCACAGCAGGCATTTCGGATCATTTCAGGTTGCAGTATTTCATTACATGCTTCCTGTCACTTCATCAGAGACCAGGGGCGGACTGAAAACTCATGGGGCCCCCGGCAATAGGGGATCATGGGGCCCCTGTGTCCTTGCCCAAACTCAAAAATGCCTATGAAAAAGGTACCAGGGGCATCTCATGGGGCCCCCTACTGACCCAAGGCCCTCGGGAAGTGCCAGAGTTTCCAAATAGTCAGTCCGCCCCTGTTAGAGACTATTAATGTGATTCTAAAGGTATGGGGTTTTTTTTTACATAATAAGCATTTTCTACTTACTTGATCTGTGCAATAGCTTTGCACTGAGTGGCCCGAACCTCCTCTTCTTGGGGTCCCCTGCCGGTGCTTTCGGCTTCCCCTCATTTCTGAGTGCTCCCATAGCAACCACTTGGTATGGGAGCGCTCGTACAGGCTTGATTCTGAGCTTAGCTGTGTGCATCTATTGACACACACAGTGTAGCTTGGCCCACCGCCCCTCCTCAGAGGATTTGATTGACAGCAACAGGAGCCAATGGCTCTCGCTGCTGCCTCCTGGTCCAGTGAGGACAGTGTGGCACCCCTGCTCTCGGGCACAGCACTGGATTGAGTTCAAGATCAGGTAAGTATTTAGGGGAGGATCTGGCCATGGAAGATTTTATACCTTAATGCAGAGAATTAAGAGAAAAAACCTTAAGCCTTTAGAATCACTTTAACTGGGCGTTTAGCCCATGTGCGTCCAACCCTGGCTTTTTTGGCAGGCTGCTGGCAGAGGGGCTGGACGTTGCAGCTGTGCCTCCCAGGCACCCTAAAATGTGCCAACAAAAGCAGGAGAGTGTAAAAAATGATCTTTCCTGGGTGTCATAAATGCTAGGTATGCCAAATTATTTATTCTTATATTTAAATCCTCTCTTGGATGAGCTATGGGATTTGCAGTGTACATAGAGTCCACAACTGCTCATTCCAAACCAGGGGCGGACTGACAACTCATGGGGCCCCTGTGTCCTCGCTCACATTCAAACCACACCCAAAAAAGCCTATGAAAGGTACCAGGGGCAGCTCATGGGGCCCTCTAATGACCCCAGGCCCTTGGGCAGTGCCCGAGTGCCCAAATGGTCAGTCCGCCCCTGTTCCAAACAAGTGAGGGGGGGGGGGGGGAATGAGAGGTTCTGGAACTCACAAAGGACATTACAAGGACACTGAAACACACAGTAAGGGACAATTTCATGAAAAATAGATTACAAGACCATTAAGTAGTGGAGGTGTAGAGGCTGTTTTTGGAGAATTATATCATTTAGTGTCACTTTAGACGTACGACAGCCACCTGTACTGGTATTAATGTAGCATTACAGACTCAATGTTCCTCCATAGTTGTCAGAGGAGAACTGTGTGAGTTGTGATTGCTGTTTTATTTTTAAAGGTGCAGGCTCTGCAGTCTCAGCCTAGCTTCACTATCTAGTTATTCACTGACCTAGGGATAATGTGCAGTATGGGAGTTTAGACTTCACTGGCTGCATGCTTTTTCCATTTTGATGGTTCAAATGATAGTGAAGCCAAGATGTCATAGTTAATTAAAATGGTTATTTTTTAAAATTATTATTATTAATATTAATAATAAATAACCAAATTAAAATTATTACTTCAATATAAACCTTTAGTATGGACAAAAGTTGGAGTTATAAGGTGCAAGGTTATCCACTTCAGCTACATTTCTGGACTTTCAGTGGCTATACCAGGATGATGCCTGCAGATGCAGGCATCACCCTGGTACCGTTTTTTAGAGCTGGCTCTCTTTGTAATAGCAATCGGAGCAGCTAACTAGCCTTTTGATCGCTATTGCAAGCAACAGGAGGGGACGTCTCCTCCCACTGCCATCTGGCGCTTGTTTGAGATTTCCCACCAGGGCTGGACAAACTTTGATCGCCTCTCCGCTATGGTAACCCGAAAACGATGACCTGTCAAAACTTCCGGTTTACCCAGATGTCAATGGAGCCATTTTCAAAAACTCAAAAGCATTTGAAAACACCGATCTTGGTGTTTTGAATGCTTTTAAGTCCATAAAGAGTACCTGTCATGTGCCTATTGCTGTCACAAGGATTTTCAAGGAATTTCTTGTGACAGCAAGAAAAGTGATTAAAAAAACTAAAGCAACAGTGTAAAAATAAAAATAAATATTAAAAAAAAATATTAAAGTGCCCCTGTCCCTCCGTGCTGACGCACAAGTTGAACGCACGCATCGGTCCCGTAATTTTAGCACCAGACCTCCTCTATAAGTGGTAACCTATAAAGACTTTTAAAGCATTGCCTATGGATACTAAAATTTACATTGTTTGTCACCATTGCACGGTCATTCACAATTTTATAGGTTGACATGTTTGGTATCTATTTACTCGGTGTAGCATCACCTTTTATTTTTTACAAAAAAATTGGGTTAAGTATTGTTTTGTTTTTTTCATTAAAATTCAAAAAGTGTAATTTTTACAAAAAAGTTGTGTTTGAAAACCGCTGCACAAATACCATGTGACATAAAAAAAATTGCAAAACCCACCAATTTATTCTATATAGAGAAAAATATATATTTATATATATATATATATATATATATTTGGGGGTTCTAAGACATTTTCTAGCAAAAAATACTGATTGTAACGTAAACAAAAGTGCCAAGAATGGCTTGGTCTTCAAGTGGTTAAACTTTACTGGTTGACGTGGTTGTCAAGGCTTAAAGTGCAACTTCACTCTTTCAATCAACATGGGCTATTTCTAATCCTTATGCTGCTATGGTAAATAGATAGTAAAGTATATCATATTTAGTTGTTTTAACCTTTTGTTTTGCATTCCTTCATTGACTTCCTGGTTTCAGTGCCTAGGCAAATGATGTAATACATCCCAGGAATCTCCAGAAGGGGAGGGGGTTCTCAGCTCAGCCTATGTCTGAGCTAAGGACAGATGGATTCCAGGAAGTAACTGCTGCATGAATCATCTGCCCTTACTCAAGATGGTCACTGCCAGAAATGCCAGGGGGTGATTTTCAAAATGATTTCTCAGCAAAATAAAACATGGAGACATAGATGGATGGAGTGGAGTTCCACTCAAAAGTGGAAGCTCCACTTGTTTGCCTCCTCCCCCCCCTCCACTGTCATATTTGGCACCTTTTTGACAGGTACCCGCTCCCACTTCCGGCTCAGTTCGCTGCAGAAAAATGAGCCGGACGTTTGCCCCCTCCACTCTCCTGCAGTCTCCTGGGAACTTTCACAGGTCACAGGAGACTGCCGGACCAATCAGGAGGCGCAGCACGACTTGCGCATGTACAGTGGGCACCAGGTTGTGAAGCCGCAAGCTGTCACAGCCTGGTGCCCACAGTTGAGATGGCGGAGCTGGGGTGGAGAGAAGGGGAAAAGGGACCGCGCGGGTGAAAACAACGCTGGACCCTGGGACAGGTAAGTATGTGTTTATTATTAAAAGTCAGCAGCTACAGTTTTTGTAGCTGACTTTTAATAAACACTAAAACAGCTGGAACTCCGCTTTAGTGCATTCTTTGCATTAGGGTAGAAAACCTTCCATGGTTAACTCCCCCCCAGCCCCCCCACCCCACCAATACTTACCTGAGCCAGTGCCTGAAAGCAGCAACTCTGCTCTCTCTCCTCATTGGACATGGAGGCAGTCTCCCATTGTTGACAATCAAATCCTGTGAGGAGGGAGCAGGGGATGGGGTTGAGTTGCACTGTGTGTGTCAATAGACACACACAGCCTGGTCCGGGATCAAGCATGCATGTGTGCCACCATAGATAGGAGGAGGAGAGCCTAGAGTGCCAGCGGGGGACCCCAGAAGAGGAGGTTCGGGGCCACTCTGTACAAAAACAATTGAATAGAGAAAGTACGTATGACGTTTGCTCTTTAAAAAAAAAAACCACACATTTTTAACTTTACAATCACTTTAAAAAAGCCTCCTAAATCAACGTAAACCCACGTCTATCTGGATATGGCATGTTTATAGGAGTCGTGCTTTAATCGTGGTTGCCTCAAACTGTATGAGCATCAGATAGAAGGATAGGGAGTGTGAGGTTGTCATGGTAACTGGCTCTCTTCCTGTTCACAGCACGCCATAGCAGAAAAAGTGAGGACCGTTCGGAGATATCGGAGCAGCCAGATGAGTAAGTACATGAGGAGGGGGTGAGGAATGTGCAAAAATATTCTTCTCTCCTGTGTAGGATCGTACATTAATATTCAAATATATGTGACTACTTACAATGCATTGCTAGACTGCTAGCTGAGTAGTATTTTTACAGCAGCAATCTTCTATTTTTGGGGTAAAAACTCTCATTAATTGCAACAGCCTTAGATGTAATTGACAGTCACGTGTCAGTCCTTTTCTATGTGTTTCTACAAGTAAAATGGCCACTACTCCATGTTAATGATGTTCCCAACTCACAATTTCACAGAAAATGTTCTCATCAAATGAGACGGCCAGTATTAGCCACTTCTAGTGCTGTGTCTCCATCTGCTGGTAGATGTGATATTGCATTAGGCATGTATATTGTTTCCATGATTGCATATCACATACTTGGGAAATGCCATATGAAGTTGAAAGTCTACTTTTACGTTGCCAAATGAAAACTTTGGGATAATCTGCTGAGGTTTTCAACTCACATATTCATTTTTTTTCTGATTTTGGCAGTCCATGGTCCTTTTGTAATTATACATATTTATATTGTAAAGTGCTGAGCAAACTGTTGGCGCTATATAAATCCTGTATAATAATAATATGCTCCAAGTATAATACCAAACGCACCATACACATGGAAGAAATGCCACCCAATGGCTGGGTTGTTCAGTCGGTTTCTGGCCCACCAAGGCACCTAGAACTACAGTTTTGTAGAAATGGAGTGGCATGGCCCAAATCCTTCCCACGGGCTCTAACTCACATACGTGTTCCAGTCACCAGTCCACCACCTGGCCTGAGCTGACTGCTGCAACACTCCCAGTCTGTGCTCCCGGCCTCCTTGAGGCCTTCTCCTGTACTCTCCTTGTACAATGCAAAATGAGACATTTATGTCTTTTTAAGTTCTTTACTGAAATAAAATTGGTGTTAACTGCTACAATCCATGTCCTACACAAGCTATAAAGAGGATTGCTGCATTACCATATGCTCCATTATGTTCCCAAATGCTTGAAGCTCACCCTATGTCAGCTGAGGTGTCTCATCTCTCATCTCCATTCATGTTATTGTCGGGTTGCCGGTTAGAAGAAGCCCACCAAGGTTAAAGAAAACACATGGGCTCATGAAACAACTTAACATCTAGTATCTTG